CAGTCATATTTAACAAAATGGCATCACCTCAAATAGTATTATATATAAGCCAGCATATGTTAGTGAATTAATGAATGAATTTTGGTAAGGAGACAGCAATAAAAATTTAAAGCCATTCTCACTGTCAATACTGAGAAAGAGTAGGACAAACCTCACAATAAGGGAAGTAACAGACAGAAGGGAAACTCGGTAATTCCAGTTCTTCTCAGTCCTAGCCTCAGGGGGAAATTTAAATATAAAAAAAACCTACTTACCTTTTCTTGGGCCAACCATTTTTCCAGTACAAGAAGCCAGATCCAGGCTAATCTTTGCGGGTTGATATCCTGCCCACATCTGAAAAAGGTGGAAAGAAAGACTTTGTAAAAAAAGTTTCTATTGACATTTTCTATTTTGTGATCCAAGATTTAGATTTCACTGCTCAGTATGTTTTATTTTTTGAGACAGAGCCTCAAGCTGTTCCCCTGGGTAGAGTGCTGTGGCATCACAACTCAAAGCAACCTGTAACTCCTGGGCTCAAGCGAGTCTCCTGCCTCAGCCTCCCAAGTAGCTGGGACCACAGGCGCCCACCACAACGCCCGGCTATTTTTTGGTTGCTGCCATCGTTGTTTTGGCGGGCCCGGGCTGGATTCGAACCCACCAGCTCAGGTGTATGTGGCTGGCGCCTTAGCCATTTGAGCCACAGGTGCCGAGCCTGCTCAGTATGTTTTAAACCTGAACATGCAAGACATTGTCCTAATGAGATATTTTCAAATGTATATGACAATTCAATAAAACACTAGAACCAGAACAGAGCTGCCACAGAAAATAACACCAATCCCAACCATATAATAAAAATAGGGTTATAAGAATTCATAAGCCTGTCTTTGATGTTAAGAATTCAGGCAATAACTGGCTAGAACTCAAATTTAAAGGGGAAAAAAATGAAGGAAAATCACTTAAGACTATTCTTTTTTTTTTTTTTTTTTGAGATAGAGCCTCAAGCTGTCCCCCTGGGTAGAGTGCCGTGGCATTATAGCTCACAGCAACCTCCAACTCCTGGGCTCAAGCGAGTCTCCTGCCTCCGCCTCCCAAGTAGCTGGGACCACAGGTGCCTGCCACAACGCCCAGCTATTTTTGGTTGCAGCCGTCATTGTTGTTTTGGCGGGTCTGGGCTGGGGATTCGAACCCACCACCTTAGGTGTATGTGGCTGGCGCCTTAGCCCGTTGAGCTATAGGCGCCGAGCCTATTTTTAAGCAAAATAACAATACAGAGAAAAACATAATAGTTAATGCTATCTAAAGTCCTGAACACAGAAACTGAATTAAATACCCTTAGAGAAAAAATTATTTATTTATTTATTTATTTAGAGACAGAGTTCCACTCTGTTGCCCTAGGTAGAGTGCTGGGACCTCATAGCTCACAGCAACCTCAAACTTTTGGGCTCAAGTGACCCTCTTGCCTCAGCCTCCTGAGTAGCTGGAATTATAGGCACCTGCCACAATGCTTGGCTAGTTTTTTCATTTTTAGTAGAGACAGGGTCTCACTCTTGGTCAGGCTGGTTGTGAACTCCTCTGCTCAAGCAATCCACCCACTTCAGCCTCCCAGACTGGTAAGATTACCAGCATGAGCCACCATGCCTGGCGATAAAGATTTATTTTTAACCATATAATAAAAACAGGGTTATAAGAATTCATAAGCCTGTCTTTGATGTTAAGAATTCAGACAATAACTGGCTACAAGGAAAATCACTTAGGTTTCTTCATTCTATGTTTGGTAATACATAACCTTAACATAACAGTCAAAGTAAGGAAAAGTTAGGGAAAAACTAAAGCAATATATTTGATTCCTGGACCACTAGTTTTTAATAGCACTGCCAGGAAGAACTTCATTAAAATAACTGTGGTTCCAGGGGAGAAGAAGGGGTCATAGAGCAAATACAGAGATAGTACCAAGGTGTGAGGGAGTTATTTTGAGGGGATGGAACAGTTCTGTATCTTTATTACACTGGGATTACATGAATATATACATGGATAAAATTGCACAGAACTATAAATGAAAAAAAAAGCAGATTAAATGATAGTGAAAACCAAATAAGATGTATAGTGTTGTTAATAGTCATGTACCACTGTCAGTTTCCTGATTTTGATATTGTACCTAACAGCTACATGAGATATTAAAATTGGGGGAAATTGGGAGAAGCATACATTGTACTCTATTGTTTTTACAACTTCTCTGTGTATCTATGATTATTTCAAAATAAAATGTTATAAGTGAGTGAACTTTCAGTCCTTTGTTAAAGGTACAACAGTATCTTCCATCTCATAAGAATGAGCAAATTTGCTTTTTTTTGAAGGCAAAGAAAATAAAGTTTGAATGCAGTTCTACCATCTGCATTAATGATGATAAACAAAAATTGGTAGTTTCAAGTGTACTTTGGTGGCCAGTGTGAAATCCAGTTGCAGATGATAATCTAAAACCAATATTAATTTTCAGAGCATGTGAAATAGCCCCTGGCTCTCCTAATTCTTCAGAGGGTAGTTGAGTGAGGCACAGGGACCAGAACCCCAATATTGAGCCATGTGTTTCCTGTCCTGTGACTGCCTGACATGAAGGGAGATCACTTACCTCAGCAGATCTGGACACACCACCAGTGCCTGAAGTATGTCTTCCACTCTCTTTGGGATATCCCCTTGTGCCTCGTGCAGCTGAGGTACACATGCCTGTGCCAGCTCCCATTCTCCCCTCCGCAGGCACTCACAGAAAAATCTGAAAAGCTGCTTCTGGGAAGCATCCTCCTCTTTTCCAAATGGATGACTCATTTTCCCAGCACAAAGTGCAGGGGGATAAAAAGAGAAGAATTATGCCGAACACATTCTCAATTTTCTCATTTGTGGAGTAACTCCTAGAAACAACACAGATGAGCGTGAGAAGAAAAGGAAGGATCTATCTCTATTTAGACAAACCAGCAACAACTGGCCCAGCAGGGAACGGCGGGACTTAACATCCCTAATTATAGTTTTAAGTTTAATTTGACACGTTTAATGTCTCTCTGAGAACTGTCTCTTTCTCCAGGGGATGGATCCCATCTCTTTACCCGTATCCTACATTTAATAATATCAATCGTCGCATTAGCCCAGAGCGCAGACCCGTAACTCCACTTGCGTATTCCCTTCAGAACTTTATGTCCAGTCCTACTCCCAATCCCCAGGTGGTCGCCTCCTCAAGGATGAGAAATTCAGCAGGAACCTCCCTAGTTTGAACCCTCTACTGAAGCAGAAGATTGAAGATCGAAGAGGAATCTGTACCAGAATTGGAGAGCAGTGAGGTGGTGGGACGCAGGGACTATCCTTACCCGGGTGGTGGACAGCGCCCCCGCCTTCTCTGGGGTGCCTTACACTCACCTGCTCCCGGCGCCCAAAGCAATAGAGCTTCCAGCGCAGCCATGTTTGAGCCGAGTCAGGTGACAGGTCCGACTCAGTCCAAAGGCGGTGAGAAGGTGGTGGTGACGACTGAGAGCGCCACTCCTATTGGCTCAGTGGAGAGAAGATGAACTTGAAGTGCCATATTTGTTTGGGTCACGTGACGCTGCCTGGCCAGACTTGGGAAAGCTCGGAAGGAGTAATTCAGCCACCTGGCTGTGGATACGCTAAATCGTGGCAGCCCCTCGGCTCAACATCTTCAGTTCTGCATTCGCCCGAGCAGGTGGCAGGAATAATTGCGCCTTTTTTTTTTTTTTTTTTTTTTTTGCTGGTTGTTTCGCTCTCTTTCCCCCCACCCCCAGCATTTGAAGTCAACATTTTCCGAGCGACAACCAGTGGACAGTGCTTTGCCGGGTGCTGCGGATACCCGGAGCTAGGAGTCCTGGGTCCTCCTCCATTATTATTCTGTCTGGGCTCTCTTATAATCCTAGAACTCCACGGTCTGAATTCCCACATTCTTGTGCGTCTCTGAATTCATTTATTTGCGCTTTACGCGACAACTGTTAATTGACCAGTGTGGCAGGCCCTCTTTTAGAAGTGGAATAACGTATCTGTCTCTCTCCTTAAGTGAGGGGTGCTGACCAAAAATTCGGACACGGTGGGCCAAATTAAAAGGTAGAAGTATGCACAAGGGATATGAGAGCAAAAAATGAGCAAAGGCTTTTCACAAATACAATAATCTGAAACCAAGTTTTAAATTAGTTTACTAAGTTTTCCTCATCACAGAGACTTTCACACCAAACCTGTTTGGTTTCCCTCGTGTTCTTTTGAAGCTACGGACTCTCAGGTTTTCTCGATATGTGTGTTTCTGGTTAAATGATTTCATTCAGCATTTCCATCAGCAAAAGGTGCTGACAAGGGCAAATTAAAACCAAAAGCTCTGTTTCAAAAACTCTTCTAGGGTAGGTGGATTGTCATCCATTCCCCAGAAAACCAACTTGCCACTCGGGTCCACTAGGCAATTTAAAAATGTGGTGATGTGGCGCAGCGCGGTGCTCGTGCCTGTATTCCTTCCTAGCACTCTGGGAGGCCAAGGTGGGTAGACAGCTTGAACCCAGGAGTTTGAGACCAGGCAGAGCAAGAGCGAGACGCGGTCTCTACTTAAAATAGAAAAAATTAGCCGGGGATGGTGGCGGGCGCCTGTTGTCCCAGCTACTCGCGAGGCTGAGGAAAGAGAATCGCTGGATCCTAAGATTTTGAGGATACTGTGAGCCAGGACCCCACGGCACTCTATGCAGGGTGAGAGTCTAAAAAAAAAAAGTAGTGATACAGGAAGAAAAGAAAAAAGTTTGAAGAAAGGTTTGCCCTTGCTTCACATCCTACTTGATGATGTTCCTTCACTGGATTTTGATAACCACTATATTTAGGAAATCGAATTCTCAGATAGAAGTAACTACAATTCCCAGCAAGCAGCGGAGCCAATCCGGACCTCTTCCTGCCTCTGATTGGGTAGAACTGCCACGGCCACGGCCCAATCAGCGCTCCGCTTGTTGTTCCGCGGCGCTTTCCGCTGGGCACTGTGAGGGGTGGGGAAAGTTTGAAAGTTGGATGCTGCAGGTCTGGTACTGGAAGTTTCGTGTGGGGGCAGTTGTGGGGCAGGGGGGTTATGCTCTTTATTATCTGTTCCTTCCCTGGGCTGGTGGGTGTCTATTTGGGGGGAGCGGAGGGTCTCTCGTGGGTGCTGGGCACGCCCCTTAAGTCACCAGGGATCTTCAGGAGAACCCCGCCGCGGATTCGGTGGCTTCTAGCTTTCTTTTGGGGGATGCTTAGAAGATGCTCTTTGTTGGAAAAAGCTGGTTTTAGCAGATTCTGTGTGATATTTTCACTTCCTGATGCCCACCCCCAGCCTTTTCCTGCTTTGGGCAGCGGTCTGGGCAGGGGAGCGTTCCATTAGGGGAAGTTTGTGGACTATTCCACTTCACGTGGTGTTCGAGAGTGTTGAATCTGGAATCCAATTTCCTGGATTGGAATGCAAGCCCCACCATTTGTCAGCTGTTTGACTCTGTGCAAGTTTCTCAACTCCCCTTCAGTATATCTTATCGGTAAAATGAGTTAAAACCTACTAAACAAAGCACCTGGAACAGTGTCTGGCACATGATAAGTAAGGTCTTACTAAATATTAGCTACTACTGTTGTTTCACGGATTTCATTGAACATCTAGCATGAGAATTTTTCTTGGTAATGAGGGAGGAGAGGGTCCAATCCCCAGGGTTGAGTATCTTTATCACCTCCAGTACACATACATGGCATGCACACATAATACACAGCAGGAATTTACATATTCTAGTGGAAGAATGGAACTTGCATAATAAACACGTTGATAAAATTATTGAACAAATGTCTGCAAAGTGTGATGAGAATATTGGAGAGGGAGAGATATTTGACTTTGGGGAAGGCTTTGTGGAAGGAATTCAGGGAGGCAGATGGTGCTTGTGTGGCTGGAAAGCTGGTAATGTGAGAAGTAGTGAGTGATGTTTGCTGAGTGAATTGATAATAGTAATTGCTAACTTTGGGCACGATGTGCCAGGCGGTACCCACATCCTTTAACCCGTGTCACTACAATCCTATGAAATAGATATTAGAATCATCTTTGTTTCACAGATGAGGAAAACTGAGGCACTGGGAGGCAAACTAACTTTACTAGGAAGGCCAGGATCTGAGTCTTGCAATCTGGTATATGAGTGAGAATCAAGTAAAGGGCCAGTTTTTGAAGATTTTATGTGACCGTAAGAAGTTTGGAATGTATCCCATGGTCTCCTAATTCCATAGGAAGTGTTAAAAGATAAGAATGACTTTTTAGGAAGTTATTTCTGGTATTATTGTGACACTAATCTGACTTTGGCAGACCAGTTTGGAGCTTTTTCCTTTCTGCTGCCATAACACATTTAAATAGCAATTACAGTATATATATTGGACAGCTGTAGTTATTTGTGCATACATCTCTTGACTGTGAGTGTCCATGTGGGAGGGAATAGGCTCCAATTATTCTTGTACTCCGGGGTTCAGCAGAGTATGCTTAAGTGTATGTGGAAAGAACAAATTAAGGAACAAATGAATGACTAGAGAATGGGTTTTATTTTGGTAGGGTGGAGAGTGACCAGAAGTAGTATGCAGTAGCTAATGAAATAGATGATGGAAGTGTCCTTATTAAGGTAGAGATAGCAGAATTGGTTACTGGTTCTAGTTTTTTTTTTTTTTTTT